TATATATTTGCATAATGTTATAAAAAATACTGTAAAAAGTAAACAGGAGCTCTTAGCATAAAAGCCGCACAACTTGAGGATTGCGTGTTGGCACAATATGTTTACAGAAAATAAACAACTATTAAGCATAACATGATGTTATTTCATGATGAAAGAACATAGTTAGAAAGCAGGCTCATCTGAAAATACAGTGTGAGAGCAGAAACGTGGCAGAAATCGAGCACGCGCTATCGTCTCACATAATAATAGCAAAAATGCAGCAGCAACACAGCATGGTTTAATAATATTGAGAAATAGTTTTTCCTTTTATTGCTGAGCGGCGTATTGTTACACGATTTTTTTCGTATTCAAGTTTCTGCCACGAGTAAGATATAAAACATGTGGAGCGTGGTTACTATAAGATTAAAAGTAAAAGTGTAAGATCTTTTCATTAGCTTAAATAATTTCTGATGACATTTCAACAGGGAATTTAGAATATATTTACTGCCTATTTGATGCAAAAAATAAGATTAATATAAATAGGAATTTTTATATAAATATTTTATATAAATATTTTATAGATAATAGTTTTATTAATTTAAATGTAATTATTTTATTATTATTTAATTACGCTAATTATTTGTGCAATTCTGAATATAATATGTATTATATTTATAAATGCAATTATTTTATCGTGTATAATTATTGTAATAAATTATAAGGGGAATTCTTCGGTTTTTATGCAGTGTTTATGCAATACTTATAATATTCAATTTTATTACATCTATTAAAATATTATTGTGCTCACTAGACAATTTGCTTTGAATTTGCCGTGTTTTCACTGTTACGATGTGACGGCAGGCCATGCTCGATTTCTGCTGCGTTTCTGCCATCAGTACCTGATATGTCAGATCGTGCTGTATTTTTGCCTTGTTTCTACTGTTATGCCGTGACAGCACATCATGCTCGATTTCTGCTGCACTTTTGCCATCAATGTTCATCATGGTAAATTTTGCTCGATATTTGCTACGTATTTGCTGTTATAATAAAATAATAAATAATGCTTGATTTTTGCTGCATTTTCACTGCTATATTACATCGGCAAAATGTGTTGTCAGAAACTGAGCTTAATGGGGACGCAGCGGATCGGAATCTGCTGCAAAGTCATGGTTGAGTTTGCTGGCATACTGCTAGCATTTTGCTATCTGGGAAGATATGTTATTAGACATATGTATATGCAATTTTTTTATATCAACTTGAATGAAAAGTAATTAAATAATTTCATTATAGTACTCTTCAAATCAAGAAAATTAACGCTATCGGTTTTTGAAATTGTGTTTATTTCTATCGCAGTATGCGGATTACTCAGCAATTCAATTATTTGTATGAATTTCACGATTTCCATATTCGATTACTTTTCTTGTTACTAAATATCTAACCGGCGATGTTGCATATACAAGTACGGGAAAGGGGGGTAAGATGACGACCTTAAGGTTTGTCAATTTTTCCTGAGTTGTATAATGATGGCAAAATAGTGATTTATTTTTTTTGGATAAGCTGAAGTCTTGCTTATCATTTGCAAAAATTGAAAATTTTATAAATATATCAGATTTTTATTAAATTTAAATTTTTTGAGGACGTGTCAATTTCGTCATTTTGCCCCCCTATGTGGGTAAGATGACTTCGATAGTGGGTAAAATGACGAAATTTAAAAATAAATATTTCATGAATAAAAATGATTATAATATCTGAAAAACATAATATACATACATGTACACTTATTATTTATAAAGAAAAAAAGTTATTTATGATACCCAATACTGATATATAATTTAAAGAACATAAAATATTAGATTAGAATAAAAATAGAAATATTTTATAATCTAAAGTAAAGTGAAGTACAAAACAAATAATTATTATTACTATTGGGACACATAAAAATATTATTTATGATAATATGATGACATTCGTCATCTTATCCCAATGTCATTACATTTATTTATCTATTTCATAAAAATTTAATATAAGAGAAAGGGAGAATAATGATACGTTATTATTTGCATTTTTAGCTGTACTATGCAGTAGTTGTACAGAGAAAATAAAAATATTTACTATAATTATTTGATTGCTTATACAAGATCATTATAAAATTACATACGAGGGTATTCAAAACACATTTCTTATTATATTATTTGCTACCGTTGACAGATTAAAGTTACACTGTAGTAAATTATTTATTACTATTAAAAGCCTCTAATGAGTTGGGCACCAGATCGTTATCTATCATTAACTTAGGGTAATTAGCAATTCGTCATCTTACCCACTTCGTCATCTTACCCCCCTTTCCCCTATATTAGAAGAAACAAAATATGTCTATGGCTCAACTACCATATTCAAAGAATTGTAAATAAATTATCAGTGCGTATGATTCATGTATGTATATGTTGAGAAAAAAAAGTAGTTGAATAAAAAAATGTACAATATATTGATCTAACGAAATGTTTTATTAGGGGATGCCACTGAAATATGTATTTATTGCAAACAACCTAGTGAACACATTCGATCATATTAAGTTAAATATCTAATTGGTAAAATTCCATATGTATTTTAGGAATAAGATGTTATTCGACACATGTATGTGCAATTTTTTTATATCAAACTTATTTGAATAGAAAGAATAAATATAAATAAGAATAAAATATAAATATAAATATAAATATAAATATAATTAAATAAAAATAAATAATTAGTGCACAAATGCTATTAAATCATTATTATGTATATATGCAAGATAATACAAGCATCTTTGTGAATAACTTGGTTCATTGAAAAATAGCAAGAATTAAATGTAGGAATGTTTGTTTAATTTTAATAATGTGATGCAAAAGAATTTAAAATTATTGATCTATTAAAATGTTGCAGAAAATTACTATAAACAGTGTGTGGCACAGTTTTTTCTCTGCGTATATGTTTTTTTTTAAGATCATTTCTGGCTAATCCAATCAGGTAATCACTTTCGATTATTTTTTCTACATCATATCCAAATAATTTATATAATAATCCAAATAATAATCAGTGCGTGTAGGTCATGTATACAGTGTGTCCTAAAAGTTTGGCAACCCCTAAATATTTTAAAAAATACGTATTTTTGAGAAAAATGTTTCAGACAAAAAAAAAGACAAAGTTGCAGGGTGTAAAGTGACATATTTAGTGATGTTCATAATTTGACTTTGGGTTGCGTCATAAAAACCAGATCAAAATTAAGTCGATTTTTTTTAATGGAACACCTTATTTTTGTTTCCAGAATTTAACAGCTGGTGTCAAAAGCTTTTAAAAGCATTATAATGAAGCATTTTTTCGCTAGGTTTTTTCTGATTTATTTTATATCTTAATTTGATATATTTTGACGTAAAATATCTCGCAAATATCTCGTAAAATATTTCGTAAAATATTTAGTTTTCGGTAGTTGTACTCTAATACTTTTATGTATGAACTCTAATACTTTTATGTATAACTCTAATACTATTATGTATAGAATAGTGAGACAAATCATTTGATGCAAAGAAAACGCATAGTTGTCTTGAAAAAAATGTATGCAACTGCATGTTGAAAATTGCAAACATTTTTCTCAAAAATACATATTTTTCAAAATATTTAGGGATTGCCAAAATTTTTTGGACACACTGTATATTGAGAAAAAAAATAGTTAAATGAAAAAATATACATTGATTCAACGAAATGTTTCATTACGGGATGTCATCAAAATATGTATTTATTGCAAACACAGCTTAGTAAATCGATTTAATCATATTAAATTAAATATCTATTTGATAAAATTCCATATGTGTTTTAAGAAATAAAAAGAAACATTCTATTTTATATACATAAACTATGATGAATTTATCTCTTAATTGATGTAAAGAAAACATATAGTTGTTTTCAAGAAAAAGTATGAATTTGCATCGAGCATCTAGATATTTTTTTTAAACATTGATTCCTCATCAATTTGTGCATAAAACTATTGACGTAATATTATCAAAAAATGAAACAATTAAAAAATTTAACGTGGACCTCTTTATAACAATTTACATCGAATGTTGCGAGGAATAGATATGTTTAAAAATCTACATTTTTTTAAACATTAAAATTAGATTGACCTTTAAATTTTTGACCCTAATATTTTTACATAGATTTCTTGCTATCGGCATTAGTTGATAAAGAGGATCTATTTGTAGAATTTATAGATAACAGAGCAAGTTCTTAGGAGACATATTGCATGTACTGATTATTTTAGCGTTGCAGAAAATTTTATATAAATTTTTCTACAACGCCAGTTTAAAATAATTAATTTGTTTGTTTATTACGTACTTATACAACTGTTTTATTTTACAGATTAAAAAAGAATAATCAGCAGCTCAGGCGCTGTATAAGAGCTGCCATAAGCGCTGAATTAAAATATCGGCTGCTATAGCGCCGAATTCTGGCTGCCCTAGGCGCCTAATTAGAAAAATCTGATTTGTGATACTTGCATTACAAGGTTGCTCTAAGCGCTGTATATCTATAAATAAAACTGTTCCAAGCGTCAATTGAAAATGGATCAATGTCACAAATTTTATTACGGTAATACGGAAAGAAACATTTTGGCTTCCAAAGAATGGTTGACGGAAACGATAATAGATAGTTTCCATGCGCTACTCGAAAGAAATTCTGATTATGCACCTCAACCTGTATGGCTGACAATATTTCCCGATCAGATTGTTCCACTCGATAATTCAAAAAAGAAGCATTTGCAAATATTGCACAGTGATTTCGGTGGCGGACATTGGATTACTTGCCATTATGACGCAAAGTCTGTTATTATATATGATTCTCATGAAGGCAGTCGTAATGCAAATATACAACATTTGAATGAAAAAATTCGAATTTTTGTGGAGAGATTATTTCCCTTTTATGATTTTCAAAACAATTCGATAGTTTTTCCTAAAGTTTAGTTGCAAGGCGACAGTTATAATTGTGGTCCTATGGCAATTGCGATTGCTACATCGATTCTGTTCGGCATAAATCCTTGCATCGTGACGTATGATCGATCTTTGCTAAGACCTCATTTAGCCGCCACGTTTGCAAGACAAACAATAAGTCATTTTCCATACCTCTGTAATACAACTACTTCATTAACACTATTGCCTTTGGAGACATTGAAAAAACGAGAGGCGAATGCACTGAGAAAAAGACTTGTACGTAGCAAAGAAACTGAAGAACAGCGTTCGAAACGATTAGAAAAGGATGCTATTTCTCACAAACAAAAATATGTTATGAATCCTGAAACAAAATGTCAGAAGATGCGTGATTTGTACAAAAAAAATCCTGAAACAAAACGTCAGAGAATGCGTGATACATACAACAAAGATTCTGAAGGATTGCGTAAAAGAAGGCATCAAATCGATGAATATCAAAAAGATTTAGAAAATAAACGGTACATTAAAAGAAAAAATTATTTGAAAAATGTTGCCCGTGAAAACGACCGCCAACAAAAATTCAGACAAAAACATTCCGACTCAAAAAAATTGTATAACAAAAAGTGCAACGCAAAACGTGGCGAGAAATCCATCGTACAAAGATTGAAGACGTTCAAGAGATTAAAGAAAAAATTCAATACTGTTCGATTTTGGCAAAAGTGTTTTAACTTTTCAAAATTCTCAGAGTTATATATTCGACAGACGTCGAAGAAAATTAATAAATCAACCACGTGTGCTCGATTGGAAGCTGAACAGATATTCAAGTGGTGCATGATAGCAAAAAAGTCGTACGTTAGGGCAGCAAGAAAAGTGTTTTCGTATTTGAAAAATGTTGCTGAAGCTGCGTTATTGTGATTCAATGAATGTAAGATTTTGAAATGTCCGAAAAGCGATCGAATTAGAGCTCTTTGTGGCTCATCCAAACATACTTCGTCTTCCGAAGCGTATTTTTATGAAACTGCTTACGAGCAAAAGAATAAGTTTGAGCAACCACTTATAACGGCACAATCCTTTCCTCATGCAGTGATCAATGTTTTGCCGTTAATAGATAACAATAATAAAAAATTAAAAATATGGCACTGTGATGAGAATAAATGCCGCATAAGTGATATTTCCGTGGAAAAGTTTGTACAACTTTTAGAACAGTTTGAAAGAAGTACTTTGAAGAATATAATGAATGATAAATTCATGGCGCAGCTCAAAAATTGTACAGTTTCACATACGAGTAGCAGATTAGGACATCCTGCGGAATGCTATGCAAATTTAAATCTTTGCAAGTCATACGTTGCGACGATAAGCACTTTATCGCCTCATTTTCCTTTCGTGAGGAATATTCGAAGAAATGTCTATAAATTGATAGACGATTATAAAAAGCTTCGTCATTTGTTTTCAGCTTTAAAATTTCTTAATATAAATCAATTGCTTGAAATTTCCAATGATATAAAAAATAAAATAAGATTTTATGAAAAAAAATTAACTGATGTTAGTTTGATCGAGGAAAAGATTTTCTCGCAAAATTACGAAGCGTTTAAAGTTATGAAAAAGCGATTGTTGGATACGCCACGTTTACCTTGTATCTCTTACGAAAAATTATGTATGAGTAGTGACGTTTCTGAACTCAAGAAGCTTAGAAAACAAGTAGAGGGACCATTTTGGAAAAATCTGATGGCTTACGTAACAGAACACAATAACAATACTGGATTTATTTGTAAGCTTTGTTTGGAGAAATTTCGGAAAGGTATGTGGTCTTCTACTTGCGTTTTGAATAATCTTGCCGTAAAACCATTACCAGATGTTTTGTCGGATTTCAATGATTACGAAAAAATGTTAATCAAGAGAATGAGCAGCTTCCAAGTAGTGCAAATGATGGGCGCTGTTTCGAACAAACATATGCCGTACAGAAAAATGATCCGCAAAGTACATGGTAGAACATTTCATTTGCCTCTGCCTTTACAAGAAACATTAGATAAGGTATGTTCTCCGGAAGATCCTATAAATTTGAATCACGAGTTGCACATCCTCGTTCGAGGTATACCCAAAAAGTCAAAAGTTGTTTGGGAAAATTTAGTGGATATTAATAAAGTGTATAAGGCTTTACAATGGTTGAAAGACAATAATCTCCACTATTCGGAAATTCGCCTTCCAGCGTCGTCTGATGATTTATTAAATGATAAGTTGCAAGAAACAGAATATCAAATCGTCGATGATGAAGACGATGGCGACGATGAAATAGACGAGGTGATTGAGGACACTGTACAGTACAATAAAGATAATAATAATCAAACAGTTTCGAAACGTAAGGCTTTCTTGACACAAATCACCAAAGATTCGGATATTAATGATCAGTATACAATATATCCAATGCACGCGAAAAGGATCGACAACGAATCTGCATTCAAACTTTATCAAATGTTGAAAATCGAAGATGTTCCAGTGGATAATCGTTATAAATATTTGGACGTCATGTGTTTTCCCGATTTATATCCCGAAGGTGTCAATGGACAACGAGAAGATAGAAATGTTGCATTGCCGGATTATTTATTCATCAGAACGCGATTGATGTCGAAACACAGTAGATTCAGATTGAATCTGCAGTATCTGTTCTTCCTTCTCAACGATGCTAACTACCGACAATTGAAAAACGGTATCTATTATACGATGATGGTTGCTAACCCACGAAAGAGATACACTGCTGGTAGATATTTGAAGCAATTGAAAGACGAACAATTGGAATCGAATTTAACGAGTATTTTCACAAAATTGAGAAATACGGATCAGTTTTGGCGACAACCGTCCAATAATGTAAAATGCATGACTCTGCATTACGGCCCGGCGACGTGGTTTTTGACTTTGAGTCCTAGTGAATGGAAATGGTCCGATTTGGGTGAATATTTACGAGACATGAATCCCGATAAAAAAAAGTTGTGCATCAGTGAACTAATCGCATATGATCCTGTAAGCACGTCTAGATTCATGTGCATAAAATTCAAAGCCATGATTGATTTTATATGTTCGACCGATAACCCAATAGGAGAGGTTATTCACTACTTCTGGCGACTAGAATATCAAACTAGAGGTATCCAGCACATGCATTGCATGATTTGGATAAAAGATGCTCCTGTGCTGGGAAAATCGCCAGATGAAGAAGTAGCTACGTTCATTCAAAAATACGTTACGTGTGCAATTCCAGATGAAAACGTTTCGCCAACATTGTACGAAACGGTTATAAGTGATCAGAATCATAAACATAACTCGTATTGCATGCGTACAAAAAAAACCAAAACAAATATTTACAAAAAGTGTCGGTTCGATTTTCCTCGGCCAGTTACTAAAAATTTCATTTTAAGAGATGTCGTCACTTCGATAGTGGGTAGAAAAAATTTACGCAGTAAGAGCAGATTGTACGATCTTCCTCGCAAGAAGTCGGAAAGGTTTATCAATGATTATAATCCGGCTATCAAATTGGCTTGGGAGGGAAATATGGACATACAATTTATTGGAGAAAAGTCAGAGTTTTTAAACTCATATTTAACAAAATATACGACAAAGTCGGAAAAATGCAACATAGACTTTGCAATGATAGATTCCAATAAGCCCTTGGCATCGAAATTGTGGAATTTTGCGATGCGTTCTTTGAATAACAGAGAATGCGGTGCTTTAGAAGCTGCGGATACACTATTAGGGAATCCCTTGTACGGTACGGTACGTGATACCATTGTCAAATGGATCGACGTCAATGAGGTGAGAAACAGAAAAGTTAAAACGTTCAATGAAATTGAAGCTCTCGATGAAAATTCTACGAATATCTATTGTCCGTCGCTCATCGATGACTACTATCCAAACAGACTTAAGGAATTAGAATCATTAAATTTGTATGATTTTGCCAGATTCTGGGAAATTACGAAACGGATGCCAAAAAGTGAGGAAATCGAATATTACGAACTGGTATCGGGTTTATTTGTAAAGAAACGAAAAAAGTGTTATTTAATTAACCATTATCGATTTAATGTAAAAACTGAACCTGAAAAGTACTTTTACTCGCTACTTCTTCTGTTCAAACCATGGAGAGATTTGAGTGAACTCAAAGGTACATGGGAGACTTACACGGATGCCTTTAAGAATTCAGAGTCTGCTTTAACGAAGGCAATGAAATATCATGAAAGGCTCGAAGAAATACAAAAAGCTTTTGAAAACATTGCTGAATTAATGGAGAAGCGCGAAAATGATCTGAAAACGGCAGACGGAGACAAATTCGATGACGATGAATTGGATTGTCATCCGATAGAAGCTGACGGCGCGATGAAAGATTTGTAAGATTTTGGCAAGATTGACGTGCCGATTAATTTACCGCAAATGATGTCGCGATTGAACGAAGATCAGAAAAGAGTCTTCGACAAGGTATGTCAAGTTTTACAAAATAAAAATCAGATTCTGCGATTGTACGTAAGTGGCGAGGGTGGTACAGGGAAAAGTTTTCTTATTGAAACGATCAAACATTGGATCAGAATAAATTTGAAAAAAGCGACTGCGATATCTGCTCCCACGGGTATCGCAGCATTCAATACCGATGGCTTGACAATTCATAGAATGTTTCAGTTGCCCGTCACTCATGAATCTACGCCAAAGTACGTGCAATTGTCAGACATGGTCCTAAAAACTTTGAGAGACAAATTGAAGAATGTCGAACTATTTATAATCGATGAAGTATCCATGATTTCGAATGTAACACTTATGTTTATCAATCTACGATTATGTGAAATCTTTGATACGATAGATACGGATGATGGTTTCTTTGGCAGAAAATACATTCTTTTGTTTGGAGATTTATTGCAGCTTTCCCCTGTAAAAGGACAATCTCCGTTCGTTAAAATGTCTCAATCAGAGGTTCAAAAGTATTTAGGTACCATGGGCGGATCTGATTTGTGGAGATTGTTTGATTACGACGAACTCTTGATCAATATGCGACAAAGATCCGACAACACATATCGCGATATACTTTCTAGAATACGAATAGGTTTGATAACAAATTTTGACATTAATGTTCTTCAGTCAAGGAAAATCAATTTCAAAGTAAGTAATTGCGACGAAAGATTGAATGAACTTTGCATTTATATGAATCAATTACCGATTGATACAATATGTTTATTGCCCACGTGTTATTTGTGTAAGGTTTTAAACACGGCAATGCTCGATAGAGTCGACGGCGATGAAATTCTATTGATAGCGGAAGATGATGTCGACTGCGGTCCAGCAATGAAAAAAAAAGTGCAAAAAACCCTGGAAGACAAAGATGACAAAGTTTCGGAAACAGCTGGTATTGAAAGAGTTATAGCGATTAAAATTGGCGCTAAAGTGATGATTCGACGAAACATTGACGTAACTCTGGGACTTGTCCCAGGATGGAACGATAGGCAATGTAGTTGCAGTTAATCGCGCTGCTGACGGAAATTGTATTGATTCTATCAAAGTAGCTACTTCGAATAACAAAGAATTCATAATAACAAAAGTAGATATTAAATTCGAGGTATTTCACAAAATAGTAGTACATCGGAAACAATTTCCATTGTCCCTCAGTTACGGAATAACTATACACAAGAGTCAAGGAATTACGTGTAAGAATGCAATGATGGATCTGGGAACCACTGTATTCAGCAATGGCCAAGCCTATGTAGGTTTGTCACGAGTGAGTACATTGGAAGGCCTACATTTGATAAACTTCAATCCGGCATCGGTTAAAGCACACTCGGGAGCCATTGCAGAATATAATCGACTGAGATCTTTGTTCAAATCTCAGCTACCACAAATTAATTCGTCCGAGAAAAAGACTGTAAAAGTTCACGATCGTCGATGGGCCATACCTAATATTATTGATGATGTACAGAATTATGGTTGTGAGGAACCAGAAAGTGTAGTTACGTGGAAAATTTACGGCCTTCGTAATAACGATAATGTTTCGTGTTACGCTAATGTAATATTGCAATGTGCATTTTATTGCGTGCGTATCAGGCAACAAATACTGAAAAATAAAGCATCGAACGCACTGACTGATGCTATATGCGCGTATGCTGAGCGTAAATATTGCAACGTTCAAGCGGTTAGAAGATCTGTCGGAAAACGCTTCGAAGAACAAACACAACAAGATGCTTCGGAATTTTTTATATCTCTAATGTCGATGTATTCCGAAATCAATGATGTATTGGAATTCGAATTGAAGCACGTAACATGTTGCTCGAATGCTAAATGTAATTACACGGTAACTACGCTGGAAAAGAGTTGTTTGCTAATATTACCTATACAGTCAACATTAAAAAGGAAAAAAGGTGTCACGTTACAAACTTTGATTGATTTGGAATTTTCGAAATGGGAAACGATAAACGGCAATTGTAACGAATGTATGGGTACCGTTCTGAAAAAGAAAACCGTAATCGAATCGACTTTATCCGTCTTAGTAATACAGCTCAATTTATACACTTTAGTGAATGGTGTTTCTAAAAAAGTTATTAACAATCGTATCAACGCCGTACCGACTAAACTAATATCGCGATTAATAAAAAAAAGTACAAGGTAATAAGCGCTATATTTCACGAAGGCGAAGAAATGAATCGTGGTCACTACATGTGTATGTTGAGAATAGACAAAAAATCGGAATGGTACTGCTCTAATGACATGAAAGTTGTTAAAAACAAATGGCCCAAAGGAGCACAAGGGGCGTACATATTGTTCTTGGAGCAGATTAAGTAAGTTTAAAAATAACTAACAATTAATGACACTTTCTTAGAATGTAACGGATTTCTTTTACAGCACGTTTACATGAACCTTAATAAACTATTGAAATTGATCATTTTAGTCATTTAATGTTATTTTTCAAATTCGGAACATTATAACAAGTAATCGCCTGTTCTGGCAGTGTACAAAGGCTGCCGTAAGCGCCAAAATAAAATATCGGTTGCTCTGGTGCTGTATTAAGGCTGCCGTAAGCGCCGCATTAAAATATTGAATGCAATAAAGTTCTAGCTTGTTTCAGACCTCCAATTAAAAATATTATTTTTGGATCTATTACGTGTCCAAACAAAAATGCGATAGCTGCAATAACGCTGAAATCGGGCTTGTCCTAGGCATCCAATTAGAAAAATTTGATGTAGAATTCTATACCTTAACTACTCGTTTGAGGTGATTCGTGATGCTTGCATTACTATTATAGAAGGCTACCCCAAGCGCCGTACATATATGTACTTTAAAAAGTAGGTGATATCCCATAAAAATTCATAAATGAAAAGATCAAGCCATGTTCAAAAAGAGACCCTCAAAAATTTAATGAATATCTAAATTTAACAATATATTACCATGAAAAGTAACTGATATATTATTCAAAGTGCCAGTTCAAAATAAACATCTAATAATATATTATCATAAAAAGTAACTGATATTATTCAAGGTACCAGTTCAAAGTGAACATAGAGTGTATATTATGTAAATTTAATAATATATTACCATAAGATGTAACTGATTGTATATTATTCAAGATGCAAGTTTAAAATGAACATACATTTATAGAGTGTATATAAGTAAAAATGATTAAAACTTGAATCGAGAAAGTAAAGACCTGTTATTCTTAGTGCACAAAATATAAAAATCATTTATTTAAGTTTGATTAGAAAATTTATACCAGCCTAGACAATGAAAAATATAATTGCTTGTAATTCCAGAGTATCAATTTGTTGATGATTCGGAAAAAGAACATCTAAACAATTTTCAAAATTTTTATCAAATTCTATTCAATTTTTATGCAATTATTTATTCTATCCATCGAAAGTTTTTTGAGAGCAGGCCGCCATGTTCTTTTTCCGAGTCATCAACAAATTGATACTCTGGAATTACAAGCAATTATATTTTTCATTGTCTAGGCTGGTATAAATTTTCTAATCAAACTTAAATAAATGATTTTTATATTTTGTGCACTAAGAATAACAGGTCTTTACTTTCTCGATTCAAGTTTTAATCATTTTTACTTATATACACTCTATAAATGTATGTTCATTTTAAACTTGCATCTTGAATAATATACAATCAGTTACATCTTATGGTAATATATTATTAAATTTACATAATATACACTCTATGTTCACTTTGAACTGGTACCTTGAATAATATCAGTTACTTTTTATGATAATATATTATTAGATGTTTATTTTGAACTGGCACTTTGAATAATATATCAGTTACTTTTCATGGTAATATATTGTTAAATTTAGATATTCATTAAATTTTTGAGGGTCTCTTTTTGAACATGGCTTGATCTTTTCATTTATGAATTTTTATGGGATATCACCTACTTTTTAAAGTACATATATGTACGGCGCTTGGGGTAGCCTTCTATAATAGTAATGCAAGCATCACGAATCACCTCAAACGAGTAGTTAAGGTATAGAATTCTACATCAAATTTTTCTAATTGGATGCCTAGGACAAGCCCGATTTCAGCGTTATTGCAGCTATCGCATTTTTGTTTGGACACGTAATAGATCCAAAAATAATATTTTTAATTGGAGGTCTGAAACAAGCTAGAACTTTATTGCATTCAATATTTTAATGCGGCGCTTACGGCAGCCTTAATACAGCACCAGAGCAACCGATATTTTATTTTGGCGCTTACGGCAGCCTTTGTACACTGCCAGAACAGGCGATTACTTGTTATAATGTTCCGAATTTGAAAAATAACATTAAATGACTAAAATGATCAATTTCAATAGTTTATTAAGGTTCATGTAAACGTGCTGTAAAAGAAATCCGTTACATTCTAAGAAAGTGTCATTAATTGTTAGTTATTTTTTAAACTTACTTAATCTGCTCCAAGAACAATATGTACGCCCCTTGTGCTCCTTTGGGCCATTTGTTTTTAACAACTTTCATGTCATTAGAGCAGTACCATTCCGATTTTTTGTCTATTCTCAACATACACATGTAGTGACCACGATTCATTTCTTCGCCTTCGTGAAATATAGCGCTTATTACCTTGTACTTTTTTTTATTAATCGCGATATTAGTTTAGTCGGTACGGCGTTGATACGATTGTTAATAACTTTTTTAGAAACACCATTCACTAAAGTGTATAAATTGAGCTGTATTACTAAGACGGATAAAGTCGATTCGATTACGGTTTTTCTTTTTCAGAACGGTACCCATACATTCGTTACAATTGCCGTTTATCGTTTCCCATTTCGAAAATTCCAAATCAATCAAAGTTTGTAACGTGACACCTTTTTTCCTTTTTAATGTTGACTGTATAGGTAATATTAGCAAACAACTCTTTTCCAG